AGGTAGAGAAGGGGCTAAAATATTGCTTACTTCCGTAGTACTCTTACACTGGGGATTAAGAGGAGCTTAGATGTTGCTCGGCAGGCTAAAGAGAAAGAGATAAAATACAGCACTACAAAGAAAAGTTAATTAAAGCAAACCTGAGCTTATGAATAAAAGCCAAAAAAACTGAGCCTGTGCGGATGGCCGAGCCGAGTTCTAGCAGTTGCCCGTCTCTCCGGGTATTCCTGCTCGGCAACCAGTCAAGTTCCAGATATTTTACCCTCATTATTTTGGACAGTTCCTGTCTCACCATGGTTTTGCCATTTACCATCGTTTCAGCATTTTCATCTTGCTCGATTTTGATCGCCTGATAATCAGCTTGCTGATAGTGTTGTCATTCGCAGTGTAACTTATCTGTCGAAAAAATTCCTCTTTAACTTGCAAAAATTTTAGACTTGGTAAATTGGTCTTTTCGCCCCTCGGGAAAAGTACATGCGAGATAGTGCTATTGTCAATCCTAATGAAGAACGTATGACAAATTTATTGCCCGAGGTTTGTCCCCGCCCCCTTTGTCTGCCTCTTCACCCGCACCGACCCTAACCCCCTCCCCCGTCCTTCCCCCGCCCTCTCCCATCAAAATAACTTTTACATTTTTTAATAGCAAAAAATGACTGAAGCGAAATCTGTATATTTATCGTATTTCTAGCTACCGTACTTACAGTACTCCGAGTTTACACCGTAAAATACCACCTTACACATGACGCCTGAGTACATTCCTTCTGATCTATTATTTTAATTGCAGGAAAGGTACGCGCAGGTTGTAATAGAATTGGAAACATTGAACAGACAGTTACAGACATATCTGTCTGCTGTTGCTGATTACTGCAATCAGTTGTTGCCTCAACTCAGTGAGGTTAGATTTTTCTGATTTTCTGCGATTTTTTAATTACCACACCTGGCAGTATTGAAATTCAACCAATATATTTACCATATTTCCAGTTACCGTATTCACGATATCCCTTAGGTTATCAGGGTATCGGAAAATACGGTAACTATATTGGTAGGGTTTACCATGTACCGTACTCCCTTAATTACCGTGTATACCACACTTCCTTAATTACCATATATACCGTACTTCCTTATTTGGTAGGGTTACTAACTCCTGACGTCTGTTTACCATTTTTCCAGGGTTACTGTGTATTCGATCTTTCGCCCTGTTTCACAAACGCTTAGAAGCAGACGAAGGAACGTAAAATACGCAAGTAAAAGTACTTTTTTGCAGGTATTATTAACAGCGCGGCCAGAAGTACTGCGGAAAACATGTTATACGCATGCTGTTCAAATTGTTAAACACTGCAATAATGGGCTGAATGTACAAAATACGCGTGTCCTAGATTTGGCTACTTCGTTAACTGCATTACTGTTGCAGGTCAGGATTAACCGTTCTGATTGCATTAAGGTGCAACTTCTATCAAATATCAGCTAAAGAAGATAAAAAAAAAAAGAAAATCATAATTCGCGCTGTTCTGAGTAACGAAGATATCTGGAACTAGAGCGAGTTA